AGTATCACAGTGCTGTTGGGGGATTGAGGAAGAAAAAAACGTTCGAATACAACAGCCAGCACCAGCACAAGGAACACTTCTCATCGAAATGTAAGTACGGTTTTCTAATTAACTAAACCTAGGCTTTAATTATTTCCATGTTGAAATGGGTTACAAATCCTAACATACAGCAGTGCAGGATTAAACTTGACCAAACAGAACCATACAAATTAAATAAGTGGATTTGAGCAACAAATCTTATCAAACAATCCCAAAACCAGTAAAAATACCATAAATATATTAATATATATTTAAGCATCATCAGTTAGAATATATTACGGTGTAAATAGGACAATTGATTTAGAAATCACTTGTAATCCAAATGTAAATTGCAGAATTGTGGATCGCAATATTTAAAATTTATATACATATAAAATATAAAAAATACAACTTTATGTTTCTATTGATGCAAAACTATAACAAACATAAAACAATATTGTAAAATGAAATATCGTAGTGATGGCCTTCCTCCTCTCAGTTTTAGTCCACAGATTAAACAATGATTTCATATACCTATAGCAGAAATATTTTATTTAAGAAATTAAAAACAAAATACATGTAATTGATTCAATTGTAATTAAATTCTGTTTTTATATGTGCTTGTGCTTCTACCTGCTTTCTTTCATTTAATCAGCTCTCAAATGTTCATAGGTAAAACCTATATCTCAATCATACTTCTATACCAAAATAAAAAAATGTTTTGTATAGACAAACATTTTTTTTAAAAAAGGGTTATAGCTAGGTACATTTTTGATTTGTTATAGACGGCAAATATTCCTCGACAACATGTAACATACACAACTGATCACAAATATCTGTCTGGTGATATCTATGTGGTGATGAGATATATAAAGAACATCTGTGGCCCACGGGAGGACATAGAGGGCACCTCAATGGAATTGAGATACAAAAAATAAAAATGATTGCCATAATTAATGCATTTGAGAATTAAACAATAAAGGGGAAAAAAATCAGATTTAGAAGCAAGTCTAATCCAGGCTGACTTGAAGTTAATTCGGGTAAAATGACTGGATTTTTCAGTAACTGTGGGTGCTGATAGTGTTGTTGTCTTTCATGAGGCCAACAGATGCCTCAGGGCTGGTAGGGTCAAATTGCTGGATTCAGAAAAGTATTCTGCTTAGTGGCCAATAAATCAGCACAATGCATTCTGGGATGCTTTGATGGATCTGGTGTCCCTTCTGGCCTGCCAAAAATGTTACAGTGCTGCGAAAAACAAATAAACTGTCTAAAATCTGTTGTAAAATTATTCTGTGAGCTGTGGCTGGTGGTCACCATAATTCATTGTGTAGGCAAAATAGGCCTTATGTCCCACTTGACTTAATGGATAATATGCTGCAGTATGAAAAGGATGGGCAGCACAGTGGCTAAATGGTAAGCCATTGTTCTTTTTTCTAACTTTTTCCTGGTATTGAAATTGCTATCTGATACATGAATATTAAATATCTCACTAGTCCGTGTTGTATTTAAAAACAAGCCCCTGAACCTTTCCAAAATGGCAGTGGCTAAAAAAAACCGAATAGATGGTCATTCTGGAGTTTCTCAAATGGGCAGCACAGTGGGTGAATGGTTAGCACTTCCGCCTGGCAGTACTAGGGTCGATGGTTCGAATCCCAGCCACGGCACCTCCTGCCTGGAGTTTGCATGTTCTCCCTGTGCCTGTGTGGGTTTCCTCCGGGTACTCCAGTTTCCTCCTACACTCCGACATGCTGTTAGGTCAATTGGATCCTGTCTAAATTGGCCCTAGTATGTGTATGTATGAATGTGAGTTAGGGACCTTAGATTGTACGCCCCTTGAGGGTTAGGGACTGATGTGAATGTACAATATATATGAAGCGCTGCGTAATTGATGGCGCTATATAAGTACCTGAAATAAATAAATAAATTAGAGAGAGGGATTTTTTCCTCCTGACACCTATATGAAGATGATGAAACCCTATTAGCTTATGTATGGACGTTACCTATGACCAGGGGCGGACTGACAACTCATGGCGCACTCTTTATAAATATGGATAGTCCCGAGGAACACTTTATAATTATGGACAGTCCTGAGCAGGGGTGGACTGACAACTCATGGGGCCTCCAGGCAATACGGGATCATGGGGCCCCTGTGTCCTTACCCAAACTCAAAGAAGCCTATGAAAAAGGTACCAGGGGCATCTCATGGGGCCCCCTACTGACCCTGGGCCCTCGGGCAGTGCCTGAGCTTCCAAATGGTCAGTCCGCCCCTGCCCATGAGTGATTTTAGTACTTAAAATCCCCTTTAACTGGACTAGTTTTGCATTGTTGAAAACATTTGGCTACTTATCCCAGCATTTTCTTTTATTTTCAATGGGTGCCAGGATCACACCCCAGCATGTAGTAAACATTGTGGAACATGTCAAGGCAAATGTAGATTGTCCAAAACTAGGGATGGGATTCAGTTCAGGTTGAGGTAGAGTTTGAAGGTTTTCCAAATGTAGAACATGTCATTCACCCCTGCACCCAAACCCAAGTGCCGTAATGCATTTTTCAAACTGTTAACTGTGGTCAGGTGGCATAGTATGACTACTAATGGGGGTTGTAAATGTACCAGCACTCTCTAGATAAAAGTCAACTCTCCCATTAGCCTCCTAGAACATTGGAGTTGCATTCGCCCATTGTATTTACAGTAAATAGACACATCAGTCCTTTTTAAGGGGACCTTATGTATGCGGAAAACAACTTCTGTTGCTGTTAAGCTGCTGTTCCTCTGTATCTTTTTTGTTTAGGGAGTCTCAAAGATCAAGGCAGAGGTTCTTTGTGTAAAACCAGTAGTGGGCTAGCAGATTCAGCATTCTCAAGCCAAAGCTGTGCTCAGCTTTAGGCACACCATCAGTAACTTGTTGAAGGAGTATGCACAAGAACTAGTTTTATTTGGCGTTAAAGAAGAGAGCACCTGGAGCACAGAAGGAGGGGAAAGCAATCACCATTAATGTTCCTGCTGCTGCAGCTTACTGCCACGTGGACTTGAGTGACCAGTAGAGTGTGGATCGTGAGGTGGAAGACTGTACTTGTGCTGTAGAGATAGTAGAGGAAAACAATGGAGGGGCACAACATCAGTGAGGCAGAATGGTCCTGGTTTACACTTCATCTCTCAGGCTGAGGAGGGTGTAACCCACTACATATGTGGACATCAGCTACGTTGGGTGGCCTCCACTTCCAGGGTTGTGGACCAGTGACAGTAATCCTTCAGTGACAGTGGCTTTTGTTGATCATTTTTTGTTTTTTTTGTCAAGTGTGCTCTCATTCCCTTGCCAGTGGCCAAGGCAGGGGTCCTGGTTTACATTGCCTTGGCCAGCTGGAGACAGGGGGGTATTCCACCCATGAAGGAGGCTCCTGCTGAATGGTTCTTGCTCCTTTTTTTGCTCTAGTCTCTGACCTCTACAGATTTGGAGACAGAGAACTCTGGTACAGCAATGATGGATGATTCGATGACCCCTACCAGCTCAACAGACTGTTCTGATGTTTTTTTATGGAACAGACCTGGGCCTGTGTGAAAGGATGTGGAGGCCTCAATCAACCCCCATCCACCGGCGGCCCCAGAGCCACAGTTAGAAGATGATCACTTGCAGCGTGACTCCACAGAAAATGATGTAGTTTGCTGCCTTTTGCTATTCAACCATGGGCAGCTTTCTACCAGGTACTCTGATTATGTTGTGTGAACTTAATTTTCCTGTTTTGCCTTAACCATGTTTATTGCAGTTTTCATGTTGCTCTTTCCTGTGTTGCGATGCTGAGGAGAGCATCTGTCAAAGAAGGGGATAGTGTGGGCAATTGCAGTCTATTTTCTCCACTGCAGGAGATGCTCAACCCAGCGACGTTGCAGAGGGAGAGCGACTCTGGAGCAACCGCACTTGCCAAGTACACAGTCTATTTGTCTGTATTAAATCAAGCCTCGTGAGTTTCATATCACTTATATGCATGTCCCAAGCAGGAGCGGACTGACAATTCATGGGGCACCCGGGCAATAGGGGATCATGGGGCCCCTGTGTCTTCGCCCACACTTAAACCACACCCAAAAAAGCCTATGAAAGGTACCAGGGGCATCTCATGGGGCCCTTACTGACCCCGGGCCCTCGGGCAGTGCCCAAGCTTCCGAATGGTCAGTCCGCCCCTGCTCCCAAGTATGTAATTTGAAAAAATGGCAGAATTTCGTCTGCTAGCAAGAATGGGAAATTGAGGTGATAATGCTACAGGATCAGGAAATCTGCACATCAGTGTCAGAATCTGAATCTTTTGGACTGCAGTGGATTTGGTGGTTCATGACAAAAATGTATGTCTGACAGAGCAGTAAAAGCCGCAAAATGCTCTAAAGAAAGCATGGAATAAATTCCTGAAGACGCCTTGCTGAATCCATGTTACAATATATTGACTGTGATAAAATGGATTAGCTAAAGTAACCGCTGGAAAATGATTTAATGAAAATCACGTTCCTCTTTCTGTTTGGGGTTCAATACATTTTATTGCATTGACAAAGTCTGTTACAATCATTCAGTAATGAATGGGCTGTGGAGGGGGAAGGAGCGGCTGGCTCAGGCAGGTACTGCTCCGGTCTCTGGGGTGATCTTTCCCCAACCTTGATGTCTGCCAACAGAGGACTTCAGCCCGCTGTCAGCTGAAAATGGGTCACAGGAGTGCAGAATGAACTGCACTGCTGTGATCCACAGGAGAAGTACAGCCAAAAGAGCTTTGGCTGTATTTCTCCATTAACAATAGGCACATAAACATATTCAGAAGACATACAGGATTACATAGTTATATATTTAGTGTGGCTAAAAAAAGACAAAAGTCTGTCCAGTTTAACCATAAAAAAAAAAAAAAAACAAGTTACAATCCTTAGTATTAGTCAACCATTTGTGAAAATGGTAATGAAAGATATTTGAAAACAATATTGCAAACATTTACAGTATAATCAGGAACATTCAGAAGCGTGTTGACTTTCTTTTTATACTTCTTATAGCCTTCAAAATATCTTTGTTCCTCAAAGAGTAGACAAATGGGTTGAGCATTGGGACCACAACCGTGTAAAGCAAGGCCAGCAACTTGTCCATCTCCTTAGAACCTTCAGACTCTGGTTTGCCGTAAATTACAATGGCTGGACCATAGAATAATATTACCGTGGTGAGGTGGGAGGTGCAACTGGAATAACCTTTCTGTCGTCCCTCCAAGGAATTAATTTTCAGTATGGTGGAGATGATGAATACGTAGGAAGTCAGAATGAGCAAAAAAGGAAAAGATACAAACAGTAAGTCCTCACATAACATAAGTATGTTTCTGCCTGTAACATCACTAGAGGATATTGCATACAGTTCTTTCGGATCACAAAAGAAATGGTCAACCTTTTGTGTGAGACAGAAGGATAATAGAGACGTGGATAACACATTTACTGCTGCATAAGTCACAGATATTAGCCAAGTGGACAGAGCCAATGAAAGGCATACATCTTTACTCATCAGTAAGGAATATTGTAATGGCTTACAGATTGCTACGTATCGGTCATAGGACATGGAGGTCAGTAGCAATACATCAGAAGCAGCTGACATGCGAAGAAGTACACCTGAGTCATACAGGCAGAGAAAAGACATCCAATGGTCATGTGTTAGGAGTATGGAGAGAAGTTTTGGAAGAGTAACTGAAACAAATATGATATCACTAACAGCAAGATTACTCAAGAAGAAATACATTGGAGTATGGAGCCGGGGAACCAGACCCCCACCAGTAGAACAATGGTCATGTTTCCAAGGATGGTCACCAAATACATCAATAGAACTGCAGTGAGAAGGAGACATTGTCCAATTTTAGAGATGGAAAAAGCTGAAATATAGAACATGTTTTTGGTATTGTTCGAGCATTCCTCCATCTTCCTTGCATGGAAAAAAAAGAAATGATAGTTTATACTTTTTACATTTATTAAATCACTTGCCATCTGGCTGTTATACATAAATGATCGGCCTGCTACTTCCTAAGGGCAAGAGATAATTTCAAAATGGCCACCCCTTGTGGTTCTTGTGCATGCCCTCTAGTGCAGTGTTTCTCAACCTTTTTTCAGTCAAGGCACCCTTTAAAATTATGGACAGTTCTGAGGCACCCTTTAAAGTTATGAACAATCCTGAGGCACCCCATTCTAAAATGGGGTGCCTCAAGACTGTCCATAATTTTAAAAGGCACCCCATTCTAAAATGAGGAAAAAAAAAAATTCTAATAGTTTTATATAATGCAGTAACATCCACACATGTAGGACACCCAACATTAGAGATGATTCATTCTTCCAAATCAAATACACTTTTGCACACTGGTACTGACTAGTATTCCGGTGTTTCTCTTCTCCCTCAGTTATTCAACATCACTAAGCTAGTGTAACCTCAGTGCTGATGGAGAGGGGCGGGGGAGGGTCAAACTAGGATGCTGTGCAGGTAGCTGATATCCTCCTTATCAACTGATGTTATTGGTTGTTAGGACACCAGTGGTTAGAAGGCCTTAATGGCGCACAATGAAAACCTGTGGCTTTGCGTAACTAAAAGGCGGGTTTCTTCCACCCTCTGGCTTGTATACAATTTTGGGGCAATTTTTAGACATTTTGTCAAGGCACCCCTGAAGAAACCTCAAGGCACTCCAGGGTGCCTGGGCACCCTGGTTGAGAAAGGCTGCTCTAGTGTGTGCATGAGTACACTCTATAATCACTATATCCAATAGACACAGCAGATCACAAACCGTAGGTACGAACCAATGAGATAGGCCCTGAACAAGTAGTCACTATGACCAACTACAGCAATCATAAATGTAAACAAGGTCTGCTTTTTGCAGCCAGCCATCTCTCTGTTTCCTTTCATACACTGATCATCTATGAAAGAAAACAGAGTTTTACCAACATTAATTATCAGCAGCATTTTGTACAGCGCACCAAGCTGGCCACAGTGTCCCTGATCATTAGTTAAACCTTTCCCATTGTCACCAGATCAGTGCAGCCAACCACATTGAAAGCCTACAACAGCTTTCCTGATTGCTGCCCCACCAGTGCCAGTGTGGGAGAGCAACAGTGTTCTGATTACTGCAACACCGGTAACCGATCTCACAGTTAGATTCAGATTCTGAGTATGAACCTAAGAAAGGCAGAGGTTCAATTACAACTACCTCTGGTCCGAGAATAAAGGGGATACTATGTTATCAAGCACTGAGCCATCTTACTGAGCTGCATCAGGCAAGCACCCGGTGTGCGATACACCAGGGCCAGAAATGTGATAGGTAGTCAGGAAATTAGATGCATAACCTTTGCCCCTTGAAAGCCTGAAGGTGTTCTTAGGATTTTGGCCCCTCTATGTAGCTAGGCTGCAAAAAAAAACTCTCTCACATGTGGTATCCCCATATTCAGGAGGAGTAGCAGAATGTATTTTTGGGTGTGATTCTAAGTATGTTCCTGCTGTGTGTTAGAAATATTTTGTTAACTGACATCTTTGTGTAAAAGAATACATTTTCATTTTCTTACCTCATCCTCCAAAAACTTGTGATCCCTAAAAGACTCCCCATACCTCTTAGTAAATACATTAGAGGGTGTGCTTTCTAAAATGTGGTCATTATGTGGGTGTTTCTACTGTTCTGGCTGTTCGGGAAATGAGATGACTTATTTTCACTCTTTGAAAGCCTGAAGGTGTTCCTTTGGCAGAACCTCTATGCATCTAGGCAGCAAATGTCTCACAAATGGTGTATCCCCATACAAGGGAGGAGTGGAAGAATGTGTTTTGGGGTGTAATTGTATATATGTCAATGTTGTAAGTAAAAAAAAAAATTGTGTCAAAATATTACAACGTTACAAAACTCACTATGCCTCATACTAAAAACCTTGGGTTGTTGACTTTTCCATAAACGGATCATTTTGGGGGTGTTTATACTGTTTCTTTTTGGGTTGAGAATTTTCAAAAAAAAAATATCATAGTTTGTAGACTCTATAACTTTTACACAGACTAAATTTTACTGTACTTTTTTTTGTTTTTTTTTATTTTACCAAGGAATACATTTTGCTGCTCTTTATAAAGATTTATTGCAAAGTTTTATAACAGAAACTAAGGGAAATATTTTTAAATATTCAGTCTGTTTTCTTTTATATTGTAAAAAAAAAAAAAAAAATTGCTGAATATTGCTGAATAAATGTGCATTTTCCCCCCCAAAAATTATATAAAATTAAGGTGGGTACAATGTAGCATGACCGAGTACTTGCCAGTCAAAGTATCATAGTACTGTTGGGGGGTGGGGAGGGGGGGGGGGGGTAGGTGGGTTGAGGACAGAAAATTTGAAATAGAACAACCAGCGCCAGCACACGGGCTACTTCTCATTAAATGTAAGTACTGTCCCTTGTGCTGTTTTTTTTTTTTTTTTAAACTAAAATTTACAACTTTAGCCATTTCCAAGTGAATTTGGCTGCAAATCATAACATACAGCAGTGCAGGTTTATAAATAAGCAAAACAGTTGTGAAACTTTATCCGCCTTTAAATTATTGTTATTTATTAAATATACAAATTAGCTAAATTGATTGAGCAATAAATCTGATTAAAAGTGGACAGTGTCACAGGAAAACCTGTCTAAAAATAAATCTGATCTTACCACCCCCCCCCCTAAAGACAGTAAAACCAAAATACAGATTAATAATACATATACATACAGCACCAGTTAGAATATGTTCAGGAGTAGCTGTGATTATTCATTTAGAAGTCACTTTTCATCCATATGTAAATTGCAGAGTTGTGGAAATCAATATTTAAACTATATAAATATTTAAAAATACAACTTTATTTTTTATGTTCCTAAAGCTCCATGTCCACTTGTTTTTTTTTATGCTCCTAGAAGCTTTTATTAGCATTTGTTTTCTGCTCCTAGAAGCTAAATAGTGTTCTCCTATGTGTTCATACACTCTACTTTAGGCTATTAGTGTTTTTTGAGCTTTAGCATCTAGGAACAGGAAAAAAATTGTTAATAAATACTCACAAAACAATTATTATTATTATTTTTCAGGATTTATATATGTCTTTACAACATGAGGGAAGACAGTATAGTTACAATACAATTCAATACACGAGGAACCTGAGGGCCCTGCCCATAAGAGCTTGCAATCTAAAAGGGAGGGTAAGGAGAAACAAAGTTTAATAACTGTCTTACAATCTCCTAGATTGTAAGCTCCCAGGATCAGGGCCATCTTATCCCTCTTGTATTGAACTGTATTGTCTCCTGTTATATTGTAAAGCGCTGAGCAAACTGTTGGCGCCATAAATCCTGTATAATAATAATAATAATAAAAAATGTGATTATTCATTTAGAAGTCACTTTTAATCCATAAGTACAGTGGGGATCGAACGTTTGGGCACCCCAGCTAAAAATTTGTATTAATGTGCATAAAGAAGCCAAGGAAAGATGGAAAAATCTCCAAAAGGCATCAAAAAACAGATTAGACATTCTTATAATATGTCAACAAAAGTTAGATTTTATTTCCATCATTTACACTTTCAAAATAACAGAAAACAAAAAAATGGCGTCTGCAAAAGTTTGGGCACCCTGCAGAATTTATAGCATGCACTGCCCCCTTTGCAAAGCTGAGACCTGCCAGTGTCATGGATTGTTCTCAATCATCGTCTGGGAAGACCAGGTAATGTCAATCTCAAAGGTTTTAAATGCCCAGACTCATCTGACCTTCCCCCCAACAATCAGCACCATGGGTTCTTCTAAGCAGTTATCTAGAAAACTGAAACTGAAAATAGTTGACGCTCACAAAGCTGGAGAAGGCTATAAGAAGATAGCAAAGCGTTTTCAGATGTCAATATCCTCTGTTCGGAATATAATTAAGAAATGGCAGTCATCGGGAACAGTGGAAGTTAAAGCAAGATCTGGAAGACCAAGAAAAAATATCAGACAGAACAGCTCGCAGGATTGTGAGAAAAACAATTCAAAACCCACGTTTGACTGCACGATCCCTCCAGAAAGATCTGGCAGATACTGGAGTTGTGGTACACTATTCCACTATAAAGAGATACTTGCACAAATATGGTCTTCATGGAAGAGTCATCAGAAGAAAACCTCTTCTACGTCCTCACCACAGAAATCATTGTTTTTGAACTTTGCAAATGAACATATAGACAAGCCTGATGCATTTTGGAAACAAGTTCTGTGGACCGATGAGGTTAAAATTGAACTTTTTGGCTGGAATGAGCAAAGGTACGTTTGGAGAAGAAGGGGCACAGAATTTAATGAAAAGAACCTCTGTCCAACTATTAAGCATGGGGTTGGATCAATCATGCTTTGGGGTTGTGTTGCAGTCAGTGGCACACGGAACTTCTCACGAGTAGAAGGAAAAATGGATTCAATAAAATTTCAGCAAATTTTGGATGGTAACTTGATGCTATCTGTGAAAAATCTGAAGTTAAAGAGAGGATGGCTTCTACAAATGGTTAATGATCCTAAACACACCTCGAAATCCACGGGGAATTACATCAAGAGGCGTAAACTGAAGGTTTTGCCATGGCCTTCACAATCTCCTGACCTCAACATCATTGAAAATCTATGGATAGACCTTAAAAGAGCCGTGCGTGACAGACAGCCCAGAAATCTCAAAGAACTGGAAGACTTTTGTAAGGAAGAATGGGCAAAGATACCTCAAACAAGAATTGAAAGACTCTTGGCTGGCTACAAAAAGCGTTTACAAGCTGTGATACTTGCCAAAGGGGGCAGTACAAGATATTAACTCTGCAGGGTGCCCAAACTTTTGCAGACGCCATTTTTTTGTTTTTCTGTTATTTTGAAAGTGTA